AGCTCCACCGTATGCATCACAGCCGGCCTTGCACACAGTACCTCACACAATACTACACCAAACGAATACACGTCCGACTTCTCAGTTAGCCGTTGACGTCGGTAGTATTCCGGGTCCAAATATCCGAAACTACCTTTCACCATTGTACTAATGTGAGTCTTGGACGTGTTGGTAGTGCCCATTTTTGACAATCCAAAGTCCGATACTTTGGCCACCCATTTCTCATCCAATAAAATGTTTGTGCTCTTCACGTCACGGTGGATGATGGTGCCCTTGGCCCCGGTATGAAGGTAGCTCAACCCTCGTGCCGCGCCAATACAAATTTGAAGCCGTTGCTCCCAAGAAAGAGGAGGGTTATCATTGTGGTAGAGATGGTCGGCGAGGGTCCCACGTGCCATGTAATCGTACACCAAGATCATCTCATTGTCGTCTGTACAATATCCAATGAGAGACACTAAATGGCGGTGGCGTAGCTGGGAGAGCAGCTCGATTTCCGTCTTGAACTCATTGGCACCCTGTGATGACTCGGGTTTCAGCCGTTTGATAGCTACAAGGGTAGCCCCACCATCGTCGATATTGCCTTTGTACACGTTCCCAAACCCGCCAACTCCAATGATGAAACTATCATTAAAGTTTTGGGTGGCGGCTTTGATCTCAGCCAGTGGAAAGTAACGACATAAATAAGGGGGTAAAGATGACCCACGACTCTCTGTTGACTTGGTCGGCCCGTGGATGGAGACGAAGGACTTGGCTTTCAGTCGTCGCCTGAAAATCAGGAATCCAAAAAGAACAGAGAGCACAAGTAGGCCGGAAGCTACACCGGCAGCAATGGCAAGTATACGATTGGACTTGGTGTTGTGTTTTACTGAACTTGAAGGAGTCAATTCGGCCGGAGTGTATGGAGGTGGGTCGGGGTTTGGTCCGGCGAGATATCCAGTTGTATCACTGAGCTTGAAGAGTTCAAGGCCGTTCAAGAGTACATCATTGTATTTAGTCATCCAATCACTTGGGTCTGGTTGCAGTGCAAGAAAGAGCTTAACTTTCTTCTGATCAGAGATTCGAGGCATGAACACGACGTAGTCCTTGTAGATTGGGCTCCCGTTTCCACCACTCCACACGATTATGTCGGCTTCTGGCTCAGCAAGTTGGTTGTCCACATGGATTAGAAACGATCGGTCCCCCTTTTTCATAATTTCAGGCTCAAACTCACAGAAATGTAGCCTTAGCAGGTAAAGAAACTCCGGATCTACGGGAAATTCCCAGGTCAGTTTGTAGCTCTTGTTTCTGGTGTGGTTGTTGCCCATGGAACGGCCCGTTTGGTAAACTAGTTGTGGAGCAGAGTACTCTGGTATTTTCGCAAAGTTGAGTTGAATGCTAACGTTTTGTGGAAGAACAGTCCACCTGGAACTCAAATCATCTAAGTACTTTTGCTCCTCTACAGAACTGTCCCAATTGCGGTACATCCCAGTGTCTTGACCGAAAGAGAGTGCACTTCCACCGATGTTTATTCGGTACATCATCTCCATCGCCGTGATGTTTTCGATGCGATAATTGACTTCGTTGCCTACATAATCAACTCCATGGCTTTCGGATGCAGTGTAGTAAAGATTGGTGGGCATGGACACAATCTCAATCCCATTGATAAAGGCATAAGCATCTGGGATTTCTCTGTTCGGAGTGAACGTGATGGTCAAGTTCTGTCCTTCATCAATGTTCAAACAGAACTCTCTTCTTAGCGTCTCGGCCGCAAAAGCATCAGCGGTGACTGAAGCATTGAAATCATGAAGAAGGGTAAAGAAATCCGCTTGGACAGAGAAGAGGGCTTTGGATCGGTCGAAGCCAGGACCATATGAAACTGGGTGGAAGTAGAAGCGAATAAACTTTTGCCCGGTGGAGAGGGAAACTTTGTAAGTAAATTGGGCAAGAGAAAGCCGAGCTGTGGTGTAAGGCACTTGGCTAACAGAGGAGGAGGGAGGTGCTTTTCTGACTTGGGATGAGAGGTCGGTGTTAGCTTGGTTTAATTCAGAGGGGGAGAATTTTGAGTTGATATCTCCAGTCCAATTCCGGTTGTCATCCATGTTCAATAAGGTTCCGGAATAGCCACAGTTGATAGTGATGTCTTCGACCGGAGTGTAGTAGATAGGTGCAGAGAGTAGGGTGGCGATTTGCAGAAAATGGGGAAGGAGGTAAAGAGGCAGAGGAGGGAGAAGGAGTTTCTTCATGGTTATTGTTTTTGGAAAGGTGTTTGCTGCTAATTGGGTTCTTGATAATAGCAAGAGCAGTAAAAGATCAAAGGGTAATTAAGATGATGATTGAGAGGATGGTTATTGGTTTGTAAAGGTGTTTACTGCTTTCTTTTTTTAAAAAAAAAAATATTTAAATTATGTTCGTCAACAACATAGAATAATTCAGGCATAAGCTTTCTATTGTTTTTTGTCCAAAAAAAAAAAGCTTTCTATTGTTTCAGTGCTACCATATCTTCGTCATGTGTTGATGCGTCTGGTAAAACGACAGAGCAAGTCTTCTAGTTGTCGTTACATTATTATTTGCATGCACAAATTGAGCACAAATGCTTTCAAAGACTTGCTTTTGGGTATACTGATTATCTGTCTTGTTAAAGTAAATTCAATGGCTGACAACAACAAAAATATAGAAAATGACACCCATTGAAAGGAAGAGGTTAGGAGTTCGATCCTTGCTCTCGTACGGAGTCACCACTTTGGCCAACACTTTATCCCTTACGGGCCGACCCGGTGTGAGTGAGAATTAGTCTGGGCTGTGGTTAAGGCTTAAAGGTGACACCCATAGTTGGGACCTATCCAGAACCACCTCATGATTCAGACAAAAAAAGAAAGAAAGGAATCTCCTGTCTAAAATATTGGGCTCCCTTTCGTTATGCATGGGGTTAAATGTTAATGCAAAGCCCAAGAGATGAAACTCGCAAATAATAACACAATTGCCAACGGCAGCAGCTCCACCCCTACGTCCACCGACAACAACGCAGGGAATTACACTTTGATTTGTTTTATCAATTCTTTCGTGATTTGCTTCATTATCGTTAATTTATTTATTAATAATTTTTTTTTTTTATAAGTATTTTGATGTAGAGTAATGATGAGTCTAAGAACACCATGCATTGATGGGTGGTGGGGGCCATATTGACTATCATGAGGTCTTTTCTTGTAGCTGGCATATTCTCAATTCATTCTTTCATGAATTGCTGAAAACGAAAAAATGTTTATTAAAATTCAAGATCTAATAAATCAAATAATTCAAATAACGGGTTTTTGACTCCCGAACTCCCGAATATCCAACCCATCACATCTTCTTCTTCTTTAAGATCCCAAAAATATATATCGTAGTTGAACATCAGTAGACACCCTCGGTGCACACCAAGGAGTACAAGTCCGATCTTCCCAAAGACTCTGGATCCAATTCAATGCAACGACATTCATAATGTTGTTCAATCTTCTTGTTGCTGTTGATCATCATGAATGGATCTAACCCAATAAGAAAGTTGCGTGCTAAAATGTTAGCACCAACCCAGAACCATCACTGGAAGCAATTGGAAAAAACCAAAACTCTTCTGGAGATGATACAATTACCTCCATTCACCAGTATCCGAAGCTCTGCAATGTCGTACCACGATTTGTAATGAGGAAAAACTAATCTCACAACCTACTCACCATTAACATGAATATTCCGCTGCTTGCTGCTGGGATTGGGGAGATTCCTACTATTACTACTACTAACACTCCATTAAAATCCAGGTGGGGGAGGAAGAGCAATCCATTGCCTGGTGTATTTATTGCAGATGTAGTAATCACGTTGATGAAAACTCACATACACAAACTCTAACATCGAAAAAGTAAAGTTTAAGGAATGACGGAACAGGACGAACCAACACATTTTATTTTCATCTGGAAGGTGTACGGAATCAGGAAGGCATCAGTTCTTACCAAAAGACAAGTTAAACTTAAAAGAAGACCAAACTATTCGGGCAATCCTAAATCCAAGAAACAAAAAAAAACCCAATATTTACAAGTTTATATCTCTTTTTATTAAATATTTTGGTGCAAAGTTCTAGACTCTAAACATACTTCTTCAAACTTCTAAGACCTCAAGTCTCAATCTCTCGAGTAAACATTTTGCTGCATAAACACTACTAAGACCTCAAGTAACACCAACAACAAGCAATTTATTACACTTAGAAACTCCACCAAATTAACCAAAGCTATAAAATGTTCAAAACCAATACAAGCTTCATTTCATCATTGGATATGAGACTGCACGAAAAACACCTATTTACAATTTTTACACTTAGCAAACCAAGAGTATATATAGCTATATAAACATCTCACACAAATTGCTCAAACCTGACCTCTGAATCCCCTGGCTCGCCACGGGTAGCCCTTTCACACTTGCTCCTTTCATAATCAGGATCATCCGTCGGCAGCTCATACCGGCAAACCGGGCATGTATTTCGAATGCCCAACCAGGGCACAATGCAGTCCTGATGGTAGTAATGGCAACAGGGTAAGCTCCTGACCTTATCCTCCGACGCAATGCTGTCTTTACAAACAGCACAGACCACTTCTTCATTCTTCAACTTCTCCTTTGTGAACTTAACAAAGGGAAGATCCTCGACAACACTTGAAGCCGCCGGAGGGCTACCTTTCATGGCATTCGCATTCTCCACGAATTGCCCAAAAATCGTGTTGATGTACTCTGCAGTCTCTAAGTCAACATCATCATCATCGGCATACCTCCGGAAATTGTTGACTGTCAAGAGAATTTCCCACTCCAGGCTTCGTGTGGCTCCTTCCGGAACCTCTTCTTCTTCAGTCGAAAACCCAGAGGCCACTGAGAGCTCTTCAACTCCGCCATCGATCCGACTAGACTCAGAATTTTCAAACATGTTCCTCTGCTCCACCAAGAAAAGGTTGTCCCAGATTGATTGGATACCCGAATCGGTGATCCTATTACTTTCGATATCTCTTCAACTCCGCCATCGATCCGATTAGACTCAGAATTTTCAAACATGTTCCTCTGCTCCACCAAGAAAAGGTTGTCCCAGATTGATTGGATACCCGAATCGGTGATCCTATTACTTTCGATATCATCGATGGTACCGGAATCCGAATCAGATTCCGATTCCAACCCAACAATCCGAAGGCCACTAACGCGCGAATCATCCCCTGGTGGAATATTAAACTCGCCCAATTCAGAGACAGAGCCCTGAGAATTTGACTCTAGACCAAACCCTAACCCCAAATTTGACGATATTTCATCTCCACCATCAACACCCCCAATTTCCGATTCAAGCGAAAGCGGGTCCGAACCAGGAACGGTAACGCAGTCGGTATTGGGCCGCTCCGAGGTGCGACGGTCGAAGAGATCGGTGACGAAGCAGCTGACGTCATGGTCCGAATCGGAGGCGGCGTCGGAGAAACAGTCGCAATCGGAGCTTCGGGAATCGGGAGGATCGGCGAAGGGGTTGCAATTGTGGTTGGTGCACCAGTGGGCGAGGGGATCAAGAGTTAGGGTTTGTGGGTCTGGTTCGTTTGGTTGTGGTTCGCGGGGTAGGTGAGTGGTGGCGGAAAGCTCAGACATAGTCTTCAAAATTAATAATGGAAGAAATTGGAGAAATTTTTGTTTGTTGGTGGTGCTTCGGTTTATATAGTGTGGGTTTTCTTCCCTCGTTTTTTATTTTATTTTATTTCACTTTGTCTTGGCCTGCTCTGTGAAGGAATAAAAGTTTAATCAGGAAAAATGAAGGTCACCAAATTTTGCATTCCTCTCATGATAACATGCTATTATTAATGCGTGCATTATTGGAAAAATATACGAAAAACATGTTGCAGTTGTCCTCTTCAAATTATTACACATAATCTGCACCCTCCTTGGTGGTTACATTCTCTAGTACTGGATATCATAAGTTTATTGCAAAATTTTAATGTTAATTTCATATCTTCCATGAAAGTAATATGATGGTCGATGCTCTTGCTACTCATGGACATAAGCTTCCTCATCTTTGTGTTTGGTTTAATCATGTTCCTCATTTTGTAGCTCTTCGGATATTGTATGATAATCGATCTCTTTGAATTCCTAGAGGGGATCCTCTTTGAAATTCATTTTTGTTCCAAAAATAGAGAGCTTATCTTGACATATTATCTCAGGGAAACTTCAAACTAATACAATATTATCCTGATAAACTACAGGCGTCCGGCGGTCTCCCCATGCTTCTCTTTCAACTCAAAGAATATGTCCTTGATTGCCTCAAATACCTCTTCAGGAGACCTTTCAGCATCAATCTAGGCCAAAATCAAAGAAGAAGAAGAAAATAAGCTACTTATGGGAAAATCAAATTTTTAGGTCAAATTAGCCAAGCTAAACAAAATTTAGTCGTCTAATTGTGAAACACTCGAGCGTGCTCATGTATATATTTGTCGGTTTTAATAAACTATAG